GCCTGCTTTTCGCGCACTCGACGCTCACGGTCTCCGCAGAGGGTTGCGCGCACATGGGACAAATCGCCCTCTCGCCTGCATTTCGCGCACTCGACACGCACGATCTCCGCAGAGGGTTGCGCGGGCACGGGACAAATCGCACTCTCGCCTGCATTTCGCGCACTTGACACGCACGATCTCCGCAGAGGGTTGCATTTTCGGTTGACGCTGTTCGTCCCACCCTCCGCCTTTAAGAGAGAATTTATAAAGTGGGGAGATGTTTTTTCATTAGGACATCTCCCGTGCAAGTTTTCCATACTCATACTTGCATACTTGCACTGGGGTTGCACTGGGATACTTGCATACTTTTGCACTTGGATACTTACACTTGCATACCTTGGATGCTTTTTACCCTTACGCTGGGATACGTATAGACGTGTATGTGTTCAAGTGTCAGTGTGGCAGCGTCAGTGTTCAAGTGTAAGTGTAGAAATGTCAGTGTTCAAGTGCAAGTGTGGAAATGTCAGTGTGTAAGTGTAAGTGTCGAAGTGTCAGTCTTCAAGGGGTTTTCCGGAAGAACCCTTCGCAATGCTTTCGGGAAATAGACAAAAAATTGAAAAACAAATGCTTTGGACCTCTAGAGAGAGAGAGAGAGATGTCCGCTTGTTGCAACTCCCAGTCTCCAAGTCCTCTCAACTGTTGCTTGAACTCCTGGACAGTCATCTCGGGGACCACCTCCAGCACTGCCACCTTTCCACTCATTTGTCGTACCGGGATCCTCATTGCCATCGCGATGTCGTGGAATGTGCTGCGTGTTGAACGCTGTTTTGACTTGTTCGAAGATCCCAACAGTGTATGCTCTTTTTGTCTGCTTGGATGCTTTGGATGCGCCATCAACTAAATGTGTATGATCTCAAACCGCGCCCTTGCCACAAGGAGAACCCCAAGAGCATGGAAGAACAAGCAATTAATTTGTTCATGTTTTACTAGGAGCAAGAAGCTCCTAGGAGCAAAGGGCATCGCTACTAGGAGCAAGACTAGGGGCTCCTGGCCTTACTACTAGGAACAAGGACGCTACTAGCTCCTTGATTTGTTAACCATTTCTGCATTTCTCCACTTTCTGCGCGGGCGAGGCCAGCGATTCATGCTAACCCTCAACGGGACGAGCGAGCCAAGAGGCTTCGTGTGGAGAACAAAGGGAGGGTGTTTGGCAGGGTGGAAACATGATAATTTATCGTTGATAACCTCTCCAAACAATCTGCAAGTCGCATGGCATGTTTATGAATCTTGGTCTTTCTGTCTAAACCACCTCAGTTGGCATTGGCCCAATTGACGGCCTGATCCTCACCCGATGCCCAAGCAGCTAGGGCCGCCCACCATTGTGTTTTTGCCTCGGTAACGATGATCCCAATGAAGACCACAATGAGCGAAGATACCAACATAGATCGTTTACTGGCTCTACATGGAAGCATGGAAGCAAGGGATCTTCTTGGTCTGCACATCGTGGAAGAACTTCTTATATATACATTCTTGTTCAAGCGATGCAACAAACCCCGCTCTCATCCGCTCTCCATGTCAGATTTCATGGTGATGTAACAGGGCATCAGTTTTTTGTGCATCAATGTCCCAAAGGAGTTGGCGGCATGCCCACACTTTAGATGGACATGTCGCAGCATCACTTGGAAGGAAGATGTCTTAATGAAATATGATGCATGACTGGTATGACTAGAGGCTCCTGGCATCGCTACTAGGAGCAAGGACGCTACTAGGGGCTCCTGGCATCGCTACTAGGAGCATTCTCACTACGAACGTAACAAGAAGCTACTAGGGGCTCCTCACCTTACTACAGGTTCCACTCGTGCACGACAGTGAAGCCAATGACAAGTTGAAGAGCCAGTTCCAAATCTCACAGCCCCACCCATTGATGTCTCACACGTTGTAGGTTGATCTTGGTTGACCTGGTGGAGGAGGGTCTTGCCAATCTGGGTCTGGTCAACACAGGTTTGGGTCCCATCTCAGGGCCAGACCTGCAAGGAAACGGTCCTGATCAGCGAGAAGGAGGAAATGGACTTTGACTAGACCCCTACAAACTATTTGGCAAGGGGTTGGAGGCCATCGCTAGTAGGTTGCAGGCCATTCCTTCTAGGCCCAAAAGCAGGCGGCCTTCAAAGTATGGTATCCGGTCGCTTCTTGCAAGCAAACTCTGATATCCTCACTGCCATCTCAGAGTTTTCAGTCAGTGAGTCAGAGGGTTGAAGAGTCACTTCTGCATCCCACTTTCCTGACAACTTGTGTTGTTACAGAGTCATCACAACCGAGCCATCCATGATTAGGCTTTAACTATCCTTCAATGCCCATTCCGAGCCAATGCCGTCTCCTCCATGAGCTTTGAAACTGGATGGAGCATCAAGGGGTACGTGCCTGGCTGAGTGGAGGTGTGCGGATAAATGGGTGGACGAGTTCTTAGAGCAAGGACGCTACTGGCTACTAGTAACAAAGGGCATCGCTATTTATATGCGTTCCTAGATTTTTCGAAGTGCCGTCTCGAGACTCTTTTGGATCTTTCGGTCACTTCAAAGGTTTGAGACGCAGTGGGGTGGATCTTGAGTCCTTCCACCTCCCGAAATGACACATCCGTCTCTTGTGCTGACTGGGGATCCCAGCAAATTAAGGCCATGCAAAAGAGGATCTGAGAAGTCAATCCTGTCGAAAAGGCTGCAGCGTATTCCGTCTTAGTCTCCTGACCGTGGTAGAGACTTCCGCATTACGGGAGTGGGTTGGCAACCTTCAAACAGACTTTAAGCAGCCTGCACCAGCTGCACGGTATGTGCAAGTGAAGCAAATCTGTGGCGGCGGCGTGTCCTTCCCATGTGTTCTACACTACAGTCTCCATCAGTCTCCTGTCTGTCGTGCCCATTGGATGTCTGGCTCTCAACGACTCAACAAGTCGAGAGCAATGTTTGAAAGCCGTGTGGAGCTGTGGACCATTGCTGTCGAGGAGCTCTTCAATCCTCCCATCTGCAAGTTGAACCTCGAAGTTGCGATAGGCACCATTCGGGACAATTGAACTCACTGCATGTCGTCGGTACTTGGGCTTAAACACCATCAAAGCCACTCCATACTCCAATCCTTTATCCTGGTGTCTCAGAAGCGACTGGTTTCCCACTAGCTGCACCCTGATGGGTTTTGCCATTCTTCGGAGACATAGCTGGGTCATTCTCTGTTCACTGCAATCTCAGGTCTTTCCAAATGTGTGGGATACGTTTCTCCCCGAAACTCGCTCGGCAGATTCTCAATAAACTACAAATCTTGCCAGTAATGGGATACATCTGGATACACCGACTACTCTTCAGTTCTGTGAGCAAACCCTCTTTCAACCATCTTCAACACTTGCCATTACTATTCAACTAGACCAGCTGGTTAAAACAGACGAGCGTAGCTGGTACCAGTGCTTCTTCCCTTCTCACTCTCGGAAGGGGGTCTTCCTGAAGCGTCATCATCTCCAAGCAACAAAACCACGGTGCGGGTGGTCGGGCCAAATGCGATGTAGGCAATGCCCGCAAAGAGGATGAAGAACAAACACCTTTAGCCGCATCAAAAAGCAAAACAACCACGGTGGGCACAGCTGCTCTTATGTTACTCGAGACCTCATGTCTACACTGACCAAAGATTGCCTTTGGGATGCCAGTCCCTGAAACAATAATGGTGAAGCCAGAGGTCAGTTCCTCCGCTTCCACCTGTCATGAACCACCTCAGCTCACTGGGTGATACAACTTCTATGCTGATATCAGCTCCCATGTTTCAAGCACAGTTGTATGTCCGTACGGGTCCCAAAAAAGTCCCAACACACAAATGCCAAAGTGCAAGCCCGACATTGTCCAGGACATGGTGCCTGCAGATCTGATCCGAACCAGAGGGCAAGTGCAGCCAGACACCGCTGGAGTAGGCAGAAGGTGTTTCTCATCAGTGTCATTTTACCTCGTCGCATGTAAACTACTTTGATGTATCCTTTAAGCTCTTGATAAAAGAACACGAACGAACGTTGCCCTGACAAACGACTCACCTGCCTTTGAAATGCTTCCTCAACTTCGGGTGCGTCCCTTCGTACATGGGCAGGACCAAGGCAATGCCTGACACACGGTGGCGTCCTCCTGTGCATGCGCGTCTGTCAAATATAAACGGAGTCCGTACCGCGAAGTGACAAGAATCAGGCTCTGAGCCGCTTCACCACTGGTTTCCCAGGTCAATTCTAAATCCAGCTGTCCTGTTATTGCTCTTGAAGTTATCTCCACAAGGTGTGTGTGTGTGTGCCCCAAGGTTGAAAGAAGGCTGCAAATGTGCGTTGACCTCGCTTCCTTCTGGTAACTCTGGTAACTTACCGTGGTGGTTGCTTGGACATAGAGGGTAAAGTGAATTTGCAAACAAAAGAGTTGAACTAACTGCAAGAGCAAAAATATGTAATTTTCTCTGCGCTGCGAGCATTAAAAGAATTGGAGCCTTCGAAAGCAAATGCAGCAGTGCCCAGAGTCAGTGGAGAACCTCATATGAGCTGCACAAGTCTGGCTTGGTCGGAGAGGTCGTCCGTAGTGAGAGGTCGTCCGATGCATGGTTAAACGTTTTTCGAAACACATTCTGCAGAAACCTAATAGCGATGGCCTCCAACCTAGTAGCGATGGCCTGCGACCATTCTGTAGAAACCATGCAGTTGCTTTTCATAAATGATCCCCTCGAAGGTCTTACAATACAAAGTGTCGGGAAGGTCTTCCCCCAATGAGAGTGTCCCTTGTCGGTTGTTATGTCTTTTGTGAAGATTTCGTACAAAGTGTGTTGCTGCTTTCACCAAAGGTGCAAACAAGAGTGCGGCGTCTTCAGTGCGCTCCTGCTCTTCTGAACGGTGGCTTGTGGCGAAATGTCCACTTATCGCCATGATCCGTTATGGAGTGCGTGTCAAAAACGAATTAGCCCCTCTAGACACTTCAATAGCAAATCCACAAGCTGCTCTTCACACACCTCCAAACTGCCAGTGCTGAACCCCGAGCCTCCCCTGAAAAGCTTCCGAAACTACTCCAACGCTTTTGAGATCTTTTGGAGGATCATTGCAGGGAAGCACCTTGCTTGGATCATATATAAGCGTATTCAACCGTTTCAGGGTTCCCCGCCGAACCCACCTGCAAAGGTAGAACATGGTTTTCTTGGAGTCACGCTCTTCAGATCTGAGTTGAACGAAGGGTTTAGAAAGTGCAAAAGAGCGTATTCGAAGCAAAAGAGCGACCAAGTTGGAAGGCTCGCTCTTTGGGGTAACCTCAATGATGCTGTTGGTCTTGAATTTTCGGTCGCCAGGTGGCTTTCCAGATTCGCCAAAGGCACTTCCCATGGGATCCTTGGCTGAAAACAGTTCCAACGAGTCTACTTTGCCGGCCGCCTTGTGGTGCTCGGTAGGTAGTTGACACAGTGCCGGGTTTCTCTGTTCAGCGACAACAAGCTATGGACCATGAAGACCTTTCAAATCCACTACGCCACGGAGTTCTAAATGCCTAGCGGCACATCTGGTAGGTGCCGAAATGCCGCCAGGAGGATCACCTCAGGAGTTGAGCACCTTCACTTTTGGCCAAGACCTGCAGTCATGCCTTACAAGAATCGCTCAGGTTTTACCTTGCTTGTCCAAGGGAGGACCGCACAGTGAAAAGTGGATTCATATTTGTAACCTATCACAAGAATGGTGATCGCGGCACTGATATCGAAAGCAGCACAAAGAGCAACCAGCAGCAGCAGTCCACTCGACTTGGAATTTGATCCCAGAAAGTCCCACAACCAGTACTGGGCACAACCAGCTCGAACTTAAACTGCAACAGTTGGAACCCCTCTTGGGCATGATTTGAGCAAGAGAGTGCGTCTCTCCACCAGTGTACAAGCTGGGTTCAGGTCTATGCGTTCCCCAACAAGTCCATTTATGCCTGGGTACTCGGAGCCCTGATTCTGAACGGGTTTGTTGACATCTCTTGGACTTGACTACGTTTGATCAAAGTTCGGTCCAATTCAATGCGATTGTTTGACTCGGAGTCAGTCCATTCGAGCCGCGGTCAAGCCCAAGAGGATGCAAAGGTCTGCGAGCAAGTTGAGAGTTGAGAAGTGCCTCAGACGTCGCTGTCATCTCTGACCATGTGGATTGGTTCTTGGTTAGTCGAGCCTTGCACAACCATCTTCCAGTAACGAACATGGTATCGTGATTGTCTCTTCGCAAACAATTTGGTATGCTTGGGATAGACGGAAAAACCTGGATTTCGCGCCGAGTAGCTTCAGTCGGCGGATCAAAGCCAAAGGTGCCCATAGCACGGCCAGGATCAAGCCTGGGTCAAGACATGGGTGACTAGAACTCATGTCCTGAGTGATGGACAAATGTGCGTTTGAGCTACTTGGTTTGCAGAACTCATTGTCGCTGTGTGAAGTGGCTTGGGGAATCTAGAGGAATATTTCAGCTGGAGCTGAGGGAAGATTGTGGCCCTGCACGAACCAAGTAGATTCTCCAGCAGTACTTGTAGGTTCTCCACCCATTTTCACCCTCCCTCCAGTTTTTTTGGGAAAAGAATGATTGCTTTCGAAACCCCAGACTAATTGAACACCCAAAGTCCCTTTGCGTGTTCAGTTGTGATCAAGAGAGGAACAAGTGACTTGTGCTTCACCACAAGCCAGAACATATCAAGTGTCAAGACACAAATCTTGCGCTGGGAGATGACATGTCGACCTGAGCAAAAAAGACATGCCCTTCCTGCCACTTCTGTGGTGCATATCACAGCAGCTGTCATGGCTATGCAAACGTCAACACAGGTATCCAAAGGTAAGCTTCCCAAATGCCCCTTTAGCATCCGAGCCACATCCAGCCACGGTGCCAAGGACCTCGGAGACGTTTTGGCTCACAAAGAGGAAATACGTCGAGCAGAAGCCCAGCTGAGAAAGACCAATCGACAGCTCCACCTCGCACAGGGACATTGCAGGAGCTTTCTGTGCGGAATAGTGCGAACATGTTGACCAACATCACCACAATCTGATGGATTGGATAAAATGGTGTGCTTTTTGCCACAGATATACTATCAGTATACGTATCTTTGTTCGTGTCTTCGGCCCAAGACACCAAGCAGCGCCCATGTCGGCCAAAAGCCTCCTGGCCGACTTCACCGTAGGAGGGCAACGTCAACTGTGAGAGGCCCTCGTCCATGTAGCGCTGTTGATTCGTAGGGCTTGCCATCATCCGCTTCACAAGAACCGCTTCAGCCTCGATTGATGTCGGATTAAAGTGACCTAAATGTGGTGCTTTTATGTGCTTTAAAAAGCTGGTTGCTTCATGGAGATTGATTGAAGAGAGTGGGTTTAGATGCGGTGTGGACCTCGGTGACTGATTACAGAGATGTGCAAACGATGATGGAGCTTCCATCCCGGCCAAGTCAGTCTACGAAAAAGAGATTCTAAGGGCTCCTTTAATGAGCACCCTTTGACCGACGCGTAAGCTCGATGGTTGCCGTTGACCTTGTCATGCCGTAAAATGAAGCCCTTGAAGGGGCCCCTTCTTAAAGAAGCCGCTAGCTTTTGCAAGCTGCTCCGCCTCAGATCCGCCGAGCCGCACAGTCGATCAACTTCTGCATTGATACTACGAAGAGGGCGCAAACGGAAGCCTCAGGAATGACGCAAAACGACTGAAAGAGGTCTAAGGATATGCCCTTGTTCCTGTAGCGTTGCCCCTGCTACTAGTAGCTTCTTATTACTAGTAGCGATGGCCTCCAACCTAGTAGCTTCTTGCTACTAGTAGTAATGCCCTTGTTACTAGGTCGAAGGATTCGAATGATCTGGCATCTTCGTTTCTCCAAATCTAACGCCAACCAGAAAGACGAGGAAGGACGTCAAGAGCGTCATCGTTGAAGAGAGACACATGATGAGGACGAGGAGGAGGAAAATCATGAGGATAAGTCGAAAAAACACAGCAAATGCAAAAGGCCCAAAAGGCCAAGACCGCAAAAGAAGCTACTAGTAACAAGTGCATCGCTTCTAGTAACAAGTGCCTTACTAGTAGTAACAAGAAGCCATTAGAAACAAAGAAGCTGCAAATGCAAAAGGCCCAAAAGGCCAAGACCACAGAAAGTTCCTTGTCTCTGACCTTCTCTACCTTCTCGTTTGTGCCAAAGTGCCAGGATGGCCATCCCCAGCAGCAGTCCACCGTTGAGAAAGCTTCGGGGCAAGTATAGCACTGCCGCTCCAGTGAAGCCCTTCCTTTCGTCACTAAAGGCAATTGGATCGGTCGTGGCAGAGACACCCCCTGTCACTTCCCTTTCCACCAACCTACTAGCAGTGGCCTCCAATCTCCCCTGTCACTTGCCTTTCCTCCTTTCCTCCTTTCGGGTTTACAGCAAGTGCCACAACTTGTCCAAAAACAGGCCGTGCTCCAAAGAGAATGAAACTGCGAGATGTAATAAGCTGGCAAGAAGCTGCAGAAGTAGGAGCTTCTTTAACACAAGGATGACACAATACCTCTGACCCATTCTCGGACTCCAAGAAAGTCTGGTGTGTGAAACCAAATGGACCTAACAATGACTAGCACCGTCCCCAAATTGGCCAGGGATCAAGATCATCAGCATCACTTGATACTGCTCAGAGATGCCTTCATTGCCAACCTCGGGACATTTTGCAAGTTCCGACCACTGCGAGAACTTCATGAAAGCTGGATTCTCGCTAGTAGTAACAAGTGCCTTACTAGTAGTAACAAGAAGCTAGGAGGGATTTCTAAGCTTTAACGTCGAGAGAGCGGTGGAGGCCAGGCCGCTCGCCATTGCTAGAATGGAGGCCATTGCGCAGAGGGAGTTGCTGGCTTCAGGTTCCATCTCTTCTCCTCCCTCGATTGCCACAAACAAACCGATCAAAGGTTCTTCGGCTGCACGAGGCTGTCCTTTTTCGGCCATGCTCGCTGATAGGTCTTGACACGAAAGATTGGGCAACTCCTCTCCGCATCCATCTTTCATTGTCCGTCGTGAAAAACTAACAAACAATCTACACAAAAGTCTGCAACGTCGTGTTTTTGTGATTAAAAAGATACAATCAAAGGTGAGCAATTCGCGTGTAATCCACACATGAAACATTCCGTGTCAACAATGCCATGATTGACTGAGAAACCAAACCTGTAGAGTAGCGGACTCCATGTACCCAAACAAAGCTTGGTTCTGCAGTTCCTAGTGCTGTGACAGTTTTCAGCTTTCAGTGTCGATGTCACCAGATCAAGTTGGAAAGGCTCCGAGGACATCAAAACCCTCTCGGTGCCATTCGTCCAGGACATTTGATGAATCGCGGATTTCTTCAGAGTCGATCGAAAAAATGCGTCATGAGAATCGCTAATATGGGGTCAGTCTAAGCTTTTTCACCGGGACTCAAGATCTCAACCATTTTGAACTCAAGATCAACCGATTGTCTTTCAATAGCTTTCTTTTGTTCCCCGCAGTCTGCTTGCAATTTGTCACTTTCCGAGTGCCAAAAAAAAGCCCCTCTCATGCGGCCGGCCATCTCTCATATCTCCACAACTGTTCCAGTTCAGGAGGAGGTGATTGCCTAGGTACGTACTAGGTGGTGCCGATTGAATCAATAGTGTCATCTCCAAGAGGTGTGGAAGGATGTGGCAGAAGACCATGGACATGAGAGTGTTCTGTTTAAAGACTTCTCACCGAGCAAAGAGCTTGCGGAAACAGAAGTTGCTGGATGATGCGGAATGCACCGAGACAGGTGTTCCCGCCAAAATCTGATTCGAGATGGCGTTACATGGCCTGTTACCGATCACCACACCAAGAGGTCCCTAAGACATTCCCGGGTGGCTGCAAAATCTTGGAAATGGCATCAAAACAGCCAAGTACACTCCTGTGACTTGTCAAGTGACAATGCGAGCCGGCCACCAAAGACATTGAGTTCCGTGTCAACCTCTTGGCATTGCCTGCCTGAAACCCTGCAAAACACCATGCCCTCCCAAAAATCGAAGAGAGAGAGAGAGAGAACCTTTTTTGAGCGGAGTAGAACCGGATCGCTACTAGTAACAAGGGCATCGCTGGTAGTAGCTTCTTGCTACTCGTAGTAATGCCCTTGTCACTAGTAGCGATGCAGTTGCTACTAGTAAGAGCAAAACCTTTATGGAGCGGAAGTCACCAAGCCGATACGTTCCTTGGTGCGCCAAAGGCACCAAGCCGGCGGCCTGCTGACCCATGATGCCGGCCACACCGAAGAAATAGCCCATCAAGGCCGCAGGGCCAATGGCCTTCACGTACCAACCAAAGGTCACGTTCTTCTCCTCAGAGAAAAAGGCAGAAAAAGAGACGTGTAAACAAGACACGTTCGGTGTGCAGTGCAAGACATAGTGCCAGGCATGGCGCGATCTTTTGCAAGTGCCAACAGGTGGTACAAGGCGTTTGATTGATGATGAAAATCTATTCAGCATCACTTAGGGACCGGGAGAAGCACTCAACGCTCACTCGATCCAACTTCGACGTCTCTGGAACGTTTGGTTTGGCATGTTGTGAATGCACAAAGCCTTGCAAACCACGAGAAACGGGCCAAAACCACTCCGAACCCTTGTCTATGACCACCCAACCTTCATCTTCACGTTCCAGCTCCCTGCATCATGCCAGCATCCCATGTTCCATCTGAACCACCGTTCTCAGCCTATTTCCTCTCTTCCACTAGACAGTGAAAGTGATTTGTAAAATACATTAAAATCATAATGATGAACCTACTATCAGTAGGGCACTTGTTACTACTAGCGTGGCACTTGTTCCTAGTAGCGTGGCACCTGTTACTACTAGCTTCTTGTTACTTGTCAAGGTGCCATGCCCATGAAGGCCACACCGGCTGCGGAGCCGATGACCAACAAGGAGCCGCCGGTGGCCGCGCAGTAGGTGATGAGGTTCCACAGGGCATCCTCTCTTCGTCTCACTTGTCTGTCGTTTTCGCCGTCAACTAATGGCCTCCAACCTACTGAAAAAGAACACAAAAGAACGTTCCAAGTACTGCCCCCAAAGGATGTGGGACCTATTCAGTGTTGTGTGGATGTTTACTGATATGCTCTGAACAGTCCATTGTGGCCAAGATGCATCAGGTGGGTGCTGAGTGAGGTCATACATGCCCTGGGAGGCCGCCACCAGAGGCACCTCAAAAGGCCATGGCGGGAAGATACCAAAACACACGATGTGTTTCTTACCGAGAAAACAAATGATGTCATCTTCTCGCTTGAAATCAAATGAGTTCACTCAACAAAAATGGAGAGGCTAAAGGACCCTGGGAAACGGAAGGCGTTGGGCGATTCCTTTGCTCGATTTTAATAAAGAGCATCGTGGGGACCGCAGTCATCACAAGGATGAAGGGTGCACTAGAAAGATTCCGGCTGGCAAGAAAATCTGGGTGGCCTCCTCGGTACCTTCTGAAACCTTCTGAAACTTTGATGGAAGCCAGTGGCTCAAGTCCAAAGTGGCTTTGTCCTCGATCATTTTATTGATGCTAGCGACACTAGTGATGACACTAGTCACTATATAGTGACACAATAATGACACCTAGGTTGCACTTTCTCACCCCACCGGTTGCACCATCTCGCCAGGCTGCGTTGTCGACCACTGCGGAGGCAAAACCGAGGAGGATGGCCACCTGGACGTTCTGTCGCTTCCGGTTCCCTCCATTGGTTCCCGTGGGTTCGGGTCTCTTAGTTTCAGGTCCAAAGATTCCTCTCAGCTGTGAGGATAAACTGAAATCTTACAACAATCTGCTGGGATCTGAAGAACTCAGCGAGCGGACTACTTTGACCGTTTCCCTCTTTGAAAAACTACATGTTCGAAAATGGCCTTTTTTCATGGTGCAACAATGACTTTGTGGGTGGCTTTGTCATGCCAAGGTGCCAAGGAATCAATGGGGCAGATCTCACTGAGCTTTTCGGCCAAGGCCTCTCAGCCGAATTGGCACATCCATTCAGCAACGCAAACTTGAACCGGTAGAAGCTGAGGGGGGGTTGGTACAGATTTCTGTAAAGGCTCTGCGAAAGAGCTTTCTTCACTGGAGAATGATTTTGCGAAAATCATAAATAGTGACAGTTTCCTCGCATGCTTCCTTGCTTGTACCATCTAGCTTGGCTTCTTCTTCCGGTTCGCCCTGCCTTCAGGATACCCACGCGCTCCAAGCCGCCCACGGCAAAGAGGACACCCAAGAAGAAGAGCGCCTCACCCGCCAAAAGCATCCAAGAATGAACGACAGAAAAATAGTCTCGAAGGAAAAGAAAAATAGTGCTACTAGTAACAAGCTATTTGCTACTAGTAGTAATGCACTTGTTACTAGTAGCGATGCACTTGCTACTAGTAGCAATATTGTATTCACACCCTAAAGTTCTTTCACATCTTTGGACAGAAATTAAGCAACCAAACGAAAATCGTGTTTGTAGACGACGTTTGAAGGACAAAACAAGGACACTGCGCAGCTTTGATGTGTGCTGAAACTATCATTGCCTGGTCCAAGCAAGGACAGACCACGGATCGCAAAACAGCGGCTCAACCCATCCAAATCGCTTACAAACCTAGATATATGCAAAGAAATGAAAAGACAAAGAGAAGATGTTCAGCCGAAACAATGCGCTGTTCTTGTGTCTTCCTTTTAGGACGGTCTTCACGGTGAAAGGCCGAGATGCATCCGCCACCTCGATGCGGCTCAACGCACCCTTCAAGGAGAAGCGATCATCGTTAGGCTCGTGGAGCAACGAAGTGATCAAAGCCAACATGCCCAAGTTCAACATCATGCCACTCCTGCCAGAAAGGAGCGAACGAACCAAACATGTGGCTCATTGAGCAATCATGTTTGCAAAAATCGTTCTAGGTCCATGTTGAGCACGAAAAGAAGCTCCTATGATGTTTGGCATCAACCTGGCATTTACCTCACCTAGACTAGCCACTTGGATGCCAAGGAGCCAAGCAGGGCACTGGGTCAAAGCGCTGAAGACGGGGACGAAGATCATCCCGGCCAAGCCGCCCCAGAAGACGAAAGCCTGTCCCACTGGGGCCTCTTCCTTGGCGCCACTGGCCTCAGTCGAAAGTCCAATAGCGAATACCTCCGAAAACAGCAAAAGAACCATAGAACCTGCCTTGTTCTTGATTTGTACCCCGATCCACACATCGCAACTCTGTTTGTGACCGTTCCCAGCTTTCAATCTCCAAGGATGGAAACTCTAGGAGCGATGGCTTCCACCCTACGAGTGAATGGCCTCCAACCTAGTAGCGATGGCCTCCCCCAGAAGATTGTTTTTAAAAGAGGTCGAAGAACTTCTTCACCCGGCCAAAATGATTTACGCTCCCAACCCTGAATGCCAATCATCGACTTTGCACGCTAGGCGACCGCAGGTCGCTCAAATGGGCCATCCTTCATCTGGATCAGCTCCCAGCCCAAGGTTCCAACCAAGCCTCACGCTGTGCCACACGGTCAGGATATGGTGCTTCCTTCTCGGAGTAATCCCAGTTTCATCTGCCAGAATGGAATACTTTCTACCCAGTCTGGTTCAACCCACTTAAATCCAAACTGCATGGAAGTTAGGAAAAATGCATGGCCTGTTTCTCCAAAACAGGTTCTGAATTCTTCGCTTCGAAACAAAGGAAAACGCGGTTTTAGAGTGGCTTGTCCACCGTGAAACTGGAAGTGAATAATAAGCAAGCAGTGCGAGCGACATGAAGTTTTCTGGACATGCGAATTTGCTTTCGGTGCTGAACAACAGTTGGCAGGTTACTCACTAGTTGCTCAGCAAGTTGCAAAAAAAGATCTCACCTTACTGAAATGTATCATTAAGAAACAACCGAGAGATACGTTTGGAAAGCTGACAACAGCTTTGGGGCAAGCTCCTTTGGTGTGAGACAACCAACGGTGTTCAGAAAACCAATTGAGGGACGCCACCTGTTGGAGCTCTATTACTCTCCAATCTCTCTTTGCACCTTTCAACAAACGCTCTAAACCTTCATCCAGGAGGGAAACCCGAGATTTTGCCCAGACACACATGATACTTGGGAAGAGCAGGTTTCCCAACAAACGCACCGTGGTCACCTGGCGGTGTCAGATTCTCATGGACTGTCGGACGTGGCTCCACAGCCACAAAAGTCTCTTGCAAAAGGTATCTTCAAAGGGTTCTGCGGTCGACACTCACAAACTTGTCATATGCATCAGTTCTAAAAGCTAAAACCTACTTGTGACAGTGGAGATGGTAAACCCCACACAGGACAAATGCAAAGGATTGTATAGATTCTTCCGTTCCAAGTCCTGCAAGTCCTGGCCTGCCCGCCAATGTACAACATGGTGGTGGTGATATCTCCTTAGTGATCAGCGCTGGTTTTGCGGCTTTCGTCCGCAACTCATTTTCCCTGCTTCTAGGTTGGAGGCCATCGCTACTTTTTTTCTCACTATTTCATCACTCGGATGGACCGCTGTTCTCCCCAAGTGGCCCATCGGGGTCCAAGCACCGCCCGCGTTGGAGGCGACCACCACCAAGCCGCCCAACTTCCTTCGGAAGTCATCTTCCTCGAGCGTGTCGTGACACGTCGTGACACGTCGGTTGGGTTCCTTCAACCGTTGTTCAAACCTTAGATGAAGCAATGAAGAGGGAGGTAAATCAAATCAAATGCAATGGCCTCCAACCTACTAGCGATGGCTCCACGTTAAGAGCAATGGCCTCCAACCTACTAGCGATGGCCTCCAACCTACT